AAACTCTGAGTTTTCCGTTTCACAAATTCCGAAAGAACTTTACTAATTAGATTAGTTCTGACACCAAACACACAGGAAAGAAGATCTAGAAATAAGTAAAAATGCCTTAAATTAAGTGTATTTACCCTTAATTTGAGTATTTTAGTCTTGAAATAAGATAATTAGATAAAATGCACTTGAAAAACACAATGCCATTCTCTCATTCCATTGGCAAAATGTCTCTTTTAGCTCCTCAATCCAAGAACATATGCACTTATTTTAAGAAAAAATGACTCATCCAGATTTCAATTTTTTCCAGTGCAGGCAGGTATTATTACACTGCAAAAAATTTTAATCTTAATAAGTAAATTTTTCTTAAAATCAGTGCATTTTTTTCTTGAATTGAGGAGGTAAGTGAGACAGTTTGCCAATGGAACAAGACAATTTACATTTGAAATAAGAAAAAAACAATTGCATTTTCTTATTTCAAGTGAATTTTATCTAATTATCTTATGTTAAGAGTAAAAATACTCATTCTATTGGCAAATCCTCTTACTTACCTACTCAAATTAAGGGTAAATACACTTAATTTGAGAAACATTTACTTATTTATAGATTGTTTTTGCAGTGCAGGGTTTAACAGACTCACACCAATAATAATAACAATCCTAATAACCCAGATAAATAATGTTAAACATTAAAGTTTTCTTCTGAAAAACCTACAGCCTCTTGCAAAAGGCTAATTGAAGCTCAGCAATACATCTGTTCTGCACCGTTTGTTTAGGAGGGAAGTGAGGAGGTGTTCTGATTGCAGTTGACTGAAGATGCATCTGCTATCAGCTCCCTTTCCTGACACATCATATGGAGGCTGAGACTCGTTTGCATATTTAAAATAGACGTGTTACCGGTGAAAAAGCAAAGCTTACATCACTTACCTAAGAAAGCTGTCAGGATGTGACATGGCTTGTTCATCGCCGGCTTTGATGATCTGAAGAGATTCCACCTTTAAGGCTCCCGGTGTCATCCGGAAACGAGTTTGAAACACACGAAATGACAAGATGGCAAATCCGTTCTAAACACCCACTGGTTCAGATGTTCTGTGCTAAAGATGCACCAAACCAGGAGCATTATCCGCTGTTTTAAACGACTCTGGCATTCATTTATTTTCTTTACAATGGTGGAAATACTCAATCTAAACAGGAATAAATGAGACGACACAGTGCAGAACGGCCGACCAGTTTCTGCTTAAAAGAACAAACTATTTGCTAAAATTACTCAGATCAGGGGAAATTCTGCTTTATTCTGTTTTTTCCAGCCTCCATCGTTGAACAGAAGTGGTGGTGCCAGATGCATCCGTGCCTCGATGGGGAGGAATGCAAAGTTCTTCCTGATCTGAAGGGCTGGAGCTGCGCTACAGGGAACAAGATAAAAACCACCAAGGTGAGCAATAAAAAAAAAGAAAACAAAGAAAATTCTTTTTGGTGTTTTTATGGATGCCAGAAGCAGAACTGTTGAATCTATTCAAGGTCAGAAGCTGTGACTCCTGTTACTGTCGCCTCTGCCTTTAACTAAAGAGCAGTGTTTGCTGCCGCTGCTCGGACCCTTGGGGGCCAATAATCAATGCGCTGCCATGTCTCCTTAGCACTTTCAGGCCCCTCTAAGCACCCAAACTGGCCAATTACTCACTCCAGTTACTTGCTTTTAACATTGTAACATGATTCCTGTATCCTTCAGCGTGTTATGACTACCCGTAGACTTCGGTTCTGCCTCTCTCCATGTAGTTAATTATTTAAACCGCCTGCACCTCACCTGCCTGGAGCCGGGAGCCTGGAGCCTAAGGCTATTGATCCTGGGATGGGTCCGGACCTCACAATGTATATATGGGATTGTTTTTCTGTCATTGTGGCTCTCAGAACATCTGCAGATGCACCAAACACATTTATATATTTATACATTTTTGCACGACTGTTTTTAACACTGAACATGCTTCTGTTTTTGATTTTTATTTCATATGGATCTCTGGGAAGATTTCTGCTGACAGAGACCAGCTTTGGTAACGTCAGATGCTCCACTGCAAACCCCAGGTGATTCTGATCCTTCTTCTTTTTTTTTTTCCTTCCAATATGTGTCAAACTTCAGATTGTCTTTGTTCAGCTTCCCTTATGCTGTACGGAAGAGGATTAGGGCCACTGGAAAAAAAAAAAAAGT